CCCCAAAACCCCAAAACCCCAAAACCCCAAAACCCCGAGTGAAAATCGCAATATTGAGGTTAGATGTTACTTAGCCTTTCTCTGCAAGTAGAGGAGTAGGTACTAGGTTTTGGCATAAATTTGGAGTTCCTTCCCCTAAACATTAAGACAATGTGGACTTACTCTACAATTATCATAAGTTTGTCGTAAAAACTATGAATTATTTTCTAGGAATTTACCTCAATTTGGCTTTCTGCTCCCTTTTCTTTAAGTAATATTTGTGAATTTCCTTGTATCTAACATGGCTCTCATCAAGCTCAGTGGAAAGATCCCGAATTTTAGCTTCAGGCTGCTTGGATTTAGAAAGAGAAGAGAGTGTATCAAGCCCAGCTTCGGCAAGATCCTTATCGATTCGTTTATCGTTAGCCTCATTGAATTCCTTAAAAGCTTCTCCTGTAAGCTGTATTAAATTTACTTTACCATCAAAGACACCATCTTTGAACTGCTTAATGTAAGTTTTGATCTGCTTGTCATGCTTTTTAGACTTCCTGCCGCCTTTGCCGCCATCAAGCCTTCGAGGATACCAGTACTTGTCATTTCTAGCTTTTTCTTGCTCTACCTTGATTCTTCTACCATCTATTTTGGTCCCGTAGCCATAATCAATGGCTTCTTTCATGTCTGAGCGATGCTTGAACTCGATGAATCCATAGCCTTTAGATTTACCAGCAAGATTGGTGACTATCCTACAGTGAGTGATCTTGCCATACCGTCTGAAGGCTTCCTTCAGCTTCCTCTCTGTAGTGGAGTAAGCCAGGTTCCGTACAAACATAGTCTTCCGAGGATCTTTTGTCGCCTTAGGATCTTCATCAGGATTGTACTCTCTACGCAACTTTGAAGTAAGGATAAAATGTTTAATAGATCGAGGGATCTCCGGAGCTAATTTCTCTTCTTCCTTCTTCAGTTGTTCGGTAGTCTCCTTGAAATAATAACTCAAATCCTTGCCTTTTGGCAAAATTCAGCTATAAGAGCCAAATTTGGTCTTTCTTTCAATCTGCGCCATCTCCAAGGGAGGCCTTGCTCTGAACATTATGCCCACATGTGTTGGGAGTGCAGAATCACCAGTGAACCCAAGAGTACTGGGTGGCATGTCGCCTGTGAAATTTTCCATCAAGATTATACAGAATTTGTGGTTTAAATAATTAAGGTTCCAAAAATTAGTAATCCAAACTGATTTCCAATTATTATCCAGAGCAAGGGGTTTTGGGGTTTTGGGGTTTTGGGG